GCGGATGACAGCACGAAGGACTCCACCTATAACGGTCGTGCTAATATTTCTCGGGAAAGCGTCATTGAGAGCCGGAATCAACTTGTGTCTGATATTGAATCTTCGTTAGAGGAAGTCTCTAACTGGGGTCGACTTAATTTGGTCCACTTCAACCCTACTAAGACACAGGTTTGCGCGTTCACCGCCAAAAAAGCCCCTTTTGTCGTATCAACTCGCTTTCAAAACATTCCCCTAACTGCCTCAGCCAATATTGAGATTCTCGGTGTCGACATATCGAGCGAGGTCCAGTTCCGTGGTCACTTAGAGGATAAAGCTAAATTAGCATCTAAGAAGCTTGGTGTGCTTAATAGATCGAGGCAGTATTTCACTCCGGCGCATCGCCTGCAGCTTTACAAGGCGCAGGTTCGGCCCCATATGGAATACTGTTCTCATCTTTGGGCAGGTGCACCCCAATACCAGCTTCTCCCTCTAGACCGCATTCAGCGGAGAGCGACTCGAATCGTCGATTGCCGGGACACTTCAAGTCGGCTTGATCCACTGGCCCTGCGTAGAGATGTTGCTTCACTGTGCATCTTCTATCGCATCTATTACGGGGAATGCTCCGAGGAATTGTTCGGACTTATACCTGCCGCTACTTTCCGCCATCGTTCCACGCGACAAGAAATCCACGCCCATCATGTGGATGGTTGGAAGTCCTCAACTGTGCGTTTTTCTAGAAGTTTTCTGCCTCGCACAGCCAAACTCTGGAACAGTTTGTCGCCAGCGGTATTTCCGGACCGATACGACCTTCAAACTTTCAAGCGTAGAGCTTATTCGTCCCTCAAAGGCCGGCAGCGCACTTGTAGCTCCTCTGGTGTTGCAGGTGTACCATTAAAAAAATAAATAAAAAATAATAATAATAAAAAAAAGATCGCGTTTATCACGATGAATGCGAAACTCGTGGTGAAATGGTGAACCGCCTGGTAGGACCATTTGACGAGCTCCGCCGGCAAATTCTGAAATAGTATGTAATTTCGCACGTGCTCCGGCATACAAAAGAGCGTGCTCCGCACTATCTGCAGAGAGGAGGTTTTGAGCATCGACTCTAGGTAAGTAATTAAATTAATACTATCATTAAACTTAGTTAATATTAAATGGCCGGTTTTAATCTGCACACATCGACATTACGTGTAGGCATAGTATAACTCTGTGTACGCTAACGCGTGGCCGTGTGTACGTTAAAGGGCTGTCAACACTTAGATTTTTTTTAACACTACTTTTTCATCTTATCTATTTTTAAATATTTGTTAAATAAAATGAACATTTGCATGTTACCTAACTTGAAACTTGCAGCTGTGTCGGTCGTTTTGGGGCTCACTGTATAAAAAAGTAACCAACAACTCGAAGAAAGACAGAATAAGAGAGGAAGCAAGAAAACTCATAGAAGAAAGGGGGGGGGGGTTTATTGCAGGTCAGAAGAAGGCTGGATGAGTGCTGACAGGCCAGGTGAACTGGCATATATCGACGGTAGAGCCACTGGACAATCATACAAGGAATTGCTGGAGGAAGTTATGTTGCCTTCAGTACGCACGGTGTATCCGAGGGATGAACTTCCAAATTTTGTTTTTTTTCAAGATAATTGTCCCATACACCGTGCGCATGTAGTACAAGAGTGGCTTAGCCAGCAAACGGAAATAAGGATTGTGCCTTGGCCTTCTCGATCTCCCGATCTTGCAAAGTGGTTATTATTATGGTGCAAAGATGGGATTCTAGGAATGAACGCACTAAATCAGCACTCACCACCCACTGTAATGAAATTTGGGACTCCCTTCGAGGTTCAGATTTATGTAGAAATCTCGTACAATCCATGCGTAGGCGCTGTGATGCAGTTATTGACGCTGGTGGGGCATCTACTAAATATTAAGTAGTTAGGTAGATATAGTCCAACAATATACCTCTATTATACAAGTATATATCATTTAAAATTATATTGATATTTATATTACCTACATTTGATTATAATATTTTTACATATTTTTAGTAATTTGTGTTTTATATGATGATTATATTGTCAATTTTGGTCGGTGTTATATCGCGACTAGTGTTGATGTAAATTGCAATGATATTTGATTATTTCCTGTGATACGAATAAAAATTGTTTATATTTTATATCCACTTATTTTATAATTTTAATGTTAAAAAAAAGATACCGATTTAATCATTGATATTAAAAATATTGTGTACACTTTATTTGCTTTTGTATGTAAACTTCAGACAGAATACTCAGTTTTATGATTGTAATTTGACTTAGTATGATTAAAACAGCTATTTTTAATTTAAAAATATTTATAGAGTGTAGAAAAATATGGCAGAATTTTAACCGATGTAGGTTAAATTCTGCAAATATTTTTTGTTAAGCCGTTATATTAAGAATAACTTCACTAGGGCAAATTATTTATTTATTTATAACACATTTTGATATTTGTGATTTATATAATGATTGTTAAATTTTAATAAACATCCTTTTTATACAACGTCATTTTGTCACTAGGGTAAAACTATCATTAAATTATAATCATATTTGATTATATTCCTGTGATATTAAAAATAATAGGTTTTATCTTCCATTCATATATTCTAGAATAAAGATAATATTAAAAATAAAAATAATGAATGTGTTTTATGCAATAATTATTTAATTATAATAAAGATCCGTTTTATTCAGCATTAGTTTATCATTAGAGCAACGCTATTGTTCAATTGTAATCATATTTAATTATTTTCTGTGATACTAATACTAATTGTTTCTATCTTCCATGCATATATTTTAGAATAAAGATAATATAAAAGGTATAAATAATACATGTGATTTATTAATAGTATGTGATTGTAATAAACATCCATTTCATTCAACATTAGCTAATCACTGGGCTAAAGCTAGTAACCATATTTGAGTATTTTCTGTGATACAAATTTTTAAGGGATGATTTTCATCTTTCATCTTGTAATTTTGCAATCAAGATTTTTACGTTAAGGATTACAATACCTCTAATGCAATTAATAATTATACTTATAATTGAATATATTATTTATTAATTTATTGTTATGAAGAAGGCCGATTAAATCGTTTTACGAAAAGTAATGTATTGCCTTCTTTTTCCTAATATGAATAACACTCATTTAATAAAATATATAAATGTTAAAAAAACACACACATATATAACTCATGTAGGATTTATAACACTTATATGACTTTAACAGCATAGCATTCAGAAGTCTTTGCTGGTATTTAGATACTAAAATATACTAAAAGCAAACTCGCCGTAAGATATTTAAACAAACAACTTTGAAAATAAATTAAATTTTTGACACGACAATTATTTATTCACTTGTCGGAAGACTTACAGCTGATCAATGAAAAGGTAATAAAACTCAATAAATTCAATTAAAAGTCATAGCAAGAGAGTAAAATTAGCAAATACGTATTATATATAACACAGTTAAAATTATACCCACACCTATGCAATTAAACATTATATAAACATTATTCTTATTAATAGTAAATTCAAATTAATACAATAAATAACCATTATTATTTTTTAACGTTGAGAATTGTAAAATTGTACTAAAATTATTAAAATAAAAAATTGTTGTGGATGTCGTTTTTGAATTCAATATTTTTTTTATTTAAGTATTGCTTTATATAAAACTGTGAAACTGAAAAAATGGTTTCATATGGAATCGACTAATCAATTTTGTATTATGTATTTAAATACACTTTATTTTTAACACAATTGATTTGTTTTTCTCACTATATAAATAAGTAAATTATTATATTTGATTAATTTCGCATTCACAATGCTATACTGAAAATTATTCTTAATACAAATATCGCCCGGATTACAAAAGGCCATGAGTTCGAGTCCCATTTCAGGGTGCCAGGGACTAAGTGGATTTTTTAAGCATTTTGTATTAAGAATAATAAATAAATTAACATGAATTTATTGCATTTTCATCAATCTTGCGTTAATAATATATAATTATTTTTCTTATAAAACCCACCATTTACTCAATAATTATAAAAGTAATAAAACTCGCCATCAGAGCAGCGTATACAAAAAATGAATCTTCGAGAATTTTCATTATTTAACAATACACGAAAAATCATATCATAACTTAGCAACGGCCGGTCTAGTCCGCGCTGGCAACGTCGCAGCAATATGCGACAGACAACAAAAATGTAACGTGCGCAAACGAGACAGACGTTCCATTGATGAAGCGGGGGAGATTTTTACGTTAACTTAAGCGCAAGCGATATTGGCCTTATGGGTGAAAGAGCGGATCTGTCCGCCATTGTACGATACAAAATTCAAGTTGCAAAATTTTTTAAATGTTTGAAAAACGAACACTTACAAGTTTGTAAAATCGGGCATAGATTCCCCGTCTATACAGGTTTTAGCCTAAAATTTTACAAGTTCAAACTACTATACTAAATTAATCTAATTTAATTACTCTAAGTCCAAATTTCTTCTAAGTTTCACGCCACTTTAGAGATATTTCTTCTTAACAAATAAAGTTCAAATTCACTCACTGTTTTTTTCGGTATTCAATACCAGTATAGTTCCGTATCCAGCCACCTGCTTTCTCAACTGCCAGCGCCGCGTCCTTTCGGGTTTACTTCAACATCGACACGAACTCTTTGAATTTTCTCAATTTCACTGCAGCAGCAGAGACAACACCATAATAGACAATCCGTCTACACGTCGGTGTTACATCGACGGCCAGCAGAACACTTCCCTCTAAGGTAGCCGTAATCCGGCTCGAAGGACCAATGAACACTGTCCCAAAAAGATTTATGGAATACAAAGAAAATAGTTTTCATTAAAATGATGTGTTAAAGTGCCAAACAATATCATTTGATAATAGACTATATATTTACAAAAACAAGTGAAACAACACCGCAATGTACAAATAATGTAGCGCTATCTAGTAGCCGAAACAATAACTATTAATTCTTAACAATACCTATGTTTCAACTGTGTTGTATGTGATGGAAATAGAAGTTTATTATTATTATTTCATATATAAAAAGAATAATAATTAAAAATAATCACTCATTTTTGTATTTTGCTGTTGACAGGAAATACAGAAAGGTTAACATTCAAGGAGGGTAACTATTTTGAGATGTCGTGTGCTAAGACCCCCATCGACGACACTGCCTGGCCACAATTCACCCGTCCCGCCCTGTTTCAACACGTTATACTCAAATATTGCGTGCCGCCTAAAGCGCCGGCCACATATATTACAGCTCTACAACGCCTCAATGTGACCGTGCTCAATAAACTTGTACTCAATAATCTGCCGGCAAACACAAATATTACTCGCGCCTCTCTCGCCGACCTGCCATCACACGTCACTAGTCTCGAACTCAAGGCTACCGCGAGCTCGCTTCAACTGGAATTTGATACACTCGATGGACTGGAACAACTCCGAGTGCTGGACCTCTGTCGCGTCCGACCTGGCCGTCTACCGCCGCATCTCAAGAAGCTGAGACTTTTCTATTCAAACATGCGAACGCTACCCAGTCCACTCAACGATCTGGAGAGTCTGTTCGTACACGATGGCGCACAAGTGGATGTCCCTCCTCTGGCGACTCTGTCTAAACTGCAAGTGTTAAACCTGGCAGTGCCGCTGCAAGTGGTACCACCCTTATCCCAGACCCTAGTGAATGTAACAATGACAATGTTCGAAGTGCGATCGCCGGTGCCATTCACGCATTCTGATTGCGCGCATGTGCAGCAACTTACGATCGAGTATTGGTGGATGGCGCAGGTGCCGGCGGGCTGGGTGGCGGCGTGTCCCGTCTTGCACACTCTCAAACTGCACCTGCAGAAAAATTTGACAGAGCTGGCTAAGGGCATGCTGAACGGGACCACCGAACTCCGTGTACTCTACATTAATGCATGTCCACTCAAGACACTCCCGGTAGATCTCTTCGAGTACTCACCTAACTTGAAGGAGGCGAACCTGTCGGGAAACAAACTGTTGTACCTTCCGAAGTAAGTGCAATTCGATTTAATATAAATGATTTCTTTTATTCGAGTGTACCCTAGTCTCTGCAGTGCAGGCGGTGGAAAAAACTGAGCATTCATTTTTTAATATACAGATAAAAATCCATGGATAAGAAGTCTATGCTTTTTTTAATACAGTCATTCTTTTTGTCTTCGGTCTTTTGTATGGTACTTTCGTACTTGAGCACTAAATGGGCGGAACAAGTGCTTTGAAACTCGTTCATTTTTGACAAACAATATCCAATAGGTGCGAAGACTAATTATTGTTTATTTATCCGTCAGGTAGATTATTGAAGAATATGAAATGCGTTTTTGTTTCTTATTTTTTACGTAATCAATAAATTACGGCTATACATTGAGTCGAAATGTGTCGCGTGACGTAACGCTTTTGTACATTTTCTACAAATCTGTGACGTAGCTAGACCACACTCCTTAACTTTAATGCCTATTATCTAATCCATTTTTTGTTTAAATTGAAAGAAAAAAAAAGTCTTATATAATTATCCGACTGATTGAGTAAATAGAATTTCTTCTTTTTTCAGTCGTCAATCCTATTAGTTTCTCATAGTTAAAGAGATATTTCTGTAATATTACCTATAAAATTGCCGTTTTTCATGAAATAAATGAAGCTATTTTTTTCTATATTTTTTATTTATATTAATCAAAGTAATCACCCATGCAATCAATGGATCTTTGCCAACGCATTGGTAGCTTATTAATGCCCTTCTTGACCAAATCAGCTGAACGGGTGGCAACAAATTATTCAAAGACATTTTGTGCCTAGAAGTTATCCAAATTCTGGAAAAAGTAGAAATCTGTAGGCGCAAGTTCTGGTGAGTACGGCGGATGACAGAGAACTTCCAACTCCAGCTCTTGTAGCTTGGAGACCGTCTGCTGTGCAGTATAAGGTCGCGAGTTGTCGTGCAGGAGCAGTGGAGCCGAACGATTGACCAGATGTGGGTTGGAGACGTGCGAGCTTCTCCATCATTGTGTTAAGTTCTTCACAGGACACATCTGCAGTAATGCTGGTCCACCACAGAACAATAATTCTTAAAAAAATGTCGATATTAGAAAAAAAGAATTCCATGTTTTTAAAATAAAATTATTTTGATATTAGAATTATCAGCCAAAAATAATATTTAGATATGAAATGGCCAGTACGGCAGACCGGCAATATCATGGGTAAAGTTCTATTATTTAGCGTATTTTAGTCAATACGAGAAAAAATATACAATTGAGATACCTTAGGCAATAAGCAGTCTGAAAATGTTAGTTTCAGTTCATAAAATAAAGAAAATAATTTTTAATATTCAAATCAAAGTTTTCAATACTTTAGTCTGTGTTTTTTTTTTACTCGAATCGGTAGCCACCATGATGTGACGTCTTTTGGTTTGTAAACAAACAAGTTAAATACGTATCAGGAAAGATAAATACGATTAGATATAATTTTTTTTATAATTTACTAACGAAATAAATAAAAAGTCATTTTTATTAGAACAATACTATGGAACAGGGTTTTGTAAAGTGAGATCGCACAAATTACCAATAGTAAAACTCTGATCGTCGCGTCTGAGCTTGAGTTATTTACTGCAAATCTCTATTTAAACCAACGACGTCACAACTACAAAGCAACATGGCATCCAGCATTTTCATCCAATTCGCGCCAAATTGGAAAAAGTCAATTTTAAATGTAATTTTATGACACTGATTGAATAAATTTTTTATAATATTTTCCTTACCTTACCTTACTTTTACCTTTTTCCGGACCTAAGGTAATAGGTACTTCTCTTTTAGAATTAAGATTGTTTCACTGTCAACTGTTTGTTTTATCACAGAGGTTTGTTCACGCGTGTGGCCGGCAGCCTCGTTTCGCTGGATCTGTCTTCTAATCAACTGGTGAAACAAGACGTGTGCGCCAACATCCAGCCGCTCGGCTCGCTCACGGACCTCTTGCTGTCGAACAACTTGCTCGGCGACCTCTGTGTTCCGCAATCGAACGACGACGTCTACTCCAGCAGTGAGCTTACTAGATATTGCATTTACAACGGTGAATGAACGCCCGATACCGAGTTCCGTCCTGCAGTGCTATTCTGTAATAGCTCGAATCAAATAAAACCTCGATCGGTCAGTGGACCGCTCGGAGTCAGAGTAGAGCTGTCGTTATTTTTCATACAGCCTACATTTTTCATACATCATGTTATTCTGTAAAAATACGAACCCGAATTAAAAATTCACTCAGATGTCCGAATTCACTTCGAATTTGATTTTATGATAATTATAGTTTAAATTAACTATTGTTGCAGTGCCCTTATCAGGGTTCATGTCGAGGTACATAAAAAAAACCAGTATCTGTTTCAATAAATGAGTTTGAATTTGAATTTGACACTAAATGATGACGTGAATTCGAATTCTCGCCAGGCGGCGGGCCCCGTACAAATGAGTATTGAGTTTTGTCGTTTGGTAGTGGCGTCATGTTTGCAACACAACCGCTCGCTGCGGCGGCTGGCGCTGAGCAACGTGAGCGCGACGCGCGTGTGCGTGGACTGGCTGCGGGACATGCCGCACCTGCAGCGGCTCGACCTCACCAGGAACAACGTCACCGAGCTCGTGGTCTGCACCGCCTCATTTTAAGCGATCCGCGAACGTTCACTTGATTATAGGCCAATATCTGACGGCTCGATCGTATTAAATGTTAGCTGTCTCCAGCACGCGAAGTCGTTAATGTCATGTCAATAATAAAAGTATCCAATAAACAATGAATGGCGACAACTAAAACGAATAAAAGTCAAATGAATACAATATATCACAATTATTTATAGAGATAAATTACAACTGACCAAAAATATTTTCATGTAAAGTGTTGCCAAACCGAGGCCACATACGAGGCCATAAAAAAAAAACTAAAGATCCGCCTGCGTGCAAAAAAATTACTCGAAAAGGCTGGATCAGGAGCTAAATGTTTCAATCTTTGTATTGAGCCTTTTAATTTGATACCCATACTACAGTATGGGATGTAGGATTCAACACTTTTTTTTATTATTAAATGTAGTTTGAAGTCTAAAAAGACTTGGGCTACTAAAACAGATCTGACGATACCTAAATTATCTAAATCCGTTTAGTGAAAAGGTACTTTTGGATTTTTTTGCTTTTTAGTCGACTTAAGTCTCTAGGACGAAGTTTTGGATTTTGGCTTTCATATTTTCGAAGCATTTAGGATGATGACGTATAAAGCTCGCAACCTCCATTTTAAATAACCCTACAAAAGTTAATAATTATAATCTTAACAAAGAAAGGACGACACCTCGCCGTGGGATTGGCGCTTTATATTATATAATAATAAGCTTTATATATTATAGATAACTGTCCGCGTTCCGATAGTAATAGATATATATATTCAGAAAGTTACACTTCGAGTAGATCGTGTTGCACATTTTTAACCTATCAATTTTGCATTCATAATGATATACCGATAAACATATTTAACGGGAAATACTTAAAAAATTCTTCCTTCACGGATAGATGGATTCATGAAAGATGCGGATGTGTATTTTAATCGAACGTACACCGCGTTTTAGTGAAACGAGATATCGTTTGACAGTTTAGCGACCTGAACAGAATGAAACGCAACGACGACAATTCGGTGATAGACCTGTCCCACAACCCCGTGCGCGCCGTCGACGCGACGGCCGAGGACTACGAGGCCAGCCTCCACGAGCGGCCCGACACTCAGGTACGCGCGAAACGCGACCGCACGACCGCACTCCGTCGCCCCTGCCGTCCGATCGATCGTTCACGAAGGGTAATACTATTTGCGACGTTTACTATTCGACTATTTTCGGAACGACACGATCGACGGAAGCGTCGGGGCCTCCGACGGAGAGCCGGGAGGTCTCTTTCGCTCGGTCTTCTCGTCGGAGAAGACCGAGCGAGAGACGGATCAGAACGGAGGGGCGCGAACAAAATTTCGGACGATTCGAAAGCGGGCGGAGCGAGCCCGGTCGAACCGAAGATCTTTCATTACTTTTTTTATAAAATTACGAATTCTCGCCCCGCTCGCCGGCGGCCCGACTCCGTCTCTGTCCACTCTCACGAGGAACGGCGTACGTCTCGCGACAGGGCACCGTGCTGCTGGACTCTGATTTCGTGTGCGACTGCACCGCGTTCTGGTTCTGGCGGGCGCTGCGCGCCGGGCGCGTGGTGGTGCGCATGGAGCCGCGCTGCGCCGGCGGCGGCGCGCTGCGCGAGCTGCGGCCCGCCGCCATGCGCTGCGCCGTGCATCAGGCGCGGTGTGCGCCCTGCAGCTGCCACGCGGCGCTGCTGGACGCCGGCGCCGCGCGCCTGCACGTCACGTGCGCCGGCGCGCCGCCCGCGCGCCTGCTGCTGCACCCGCCCAGCCCCATCCGCGCCCTCACGCTGGCGGGCGCCGGCCTGACCGCCGCGCCCGACCTGCCGCCGCTCGACCTTCAGGTCGGCCTCGCCTTCTGTCCTCTCTTATCTCTCCCTCGCCGTCGAACGGACCACCCCGCGCTTTATTTCTTCTCGGCCGGAACGATCTCGAAAATGATCCGCGTCGGCTCCGGTTCGCCGACGTCGCCCGCCGTCGACGACCTTTCCCGAAGTAGATTTAGAACAGTATCGCAGAAGTGCACGCGGAGACCCTCGAATGAGTTATTATCTTTCGGAAGTCTAGTGACAGGCACCGTTAATTTATTTTCATTTCTTGTATTAAAATTGTGTACGTCACTTTTTATAGAAAACAGACTAATATTTTTACGAACGTACATTAAGTTTTCGTATATGTATTGAGAAGCGACAGTCGTGATGTCTATTTTCTTAAATTTCTCCCTTAAAGAGTCCCCAATCCTAAGATTATAAATTGAAGGAATTGCTCTTTTCTGAAGCACAAAAATTGTTTGTGTGTCGGCAGCGTTTCCCCACAATAGGATTCCGTACGACATAACACTATGAAAGTAACCGAAGTATACTAATCTGGCAGCATCTATGTCAGTTAATATGCTGCAGAGCTAAGTCTACTCGACGATCTATCGATATGTGGGCCCCACTGTAGTTTAGAATCTAATTTTATTCCTAAAAATACTGTGATATCCACGAAACCCATGTTCTTATCTTTTATATTAACATTTATATCTACTTTTTTAATATTAGGTAGTACAAATTTTAAGCATTTTGTTTTTCCTTCATTAAGAAGAAGATTATTTACATTAAACCGATGTACTACTTTAGCGATAGAATCGTTCGCATCGTCATTTAGAGGTAACCCTCTTTTAATTTTAAACAAAAGTGAAGTGTCATCCGCAAACAAAACTATTTCGTGATCATCCCTTACGAAATAAGGCAAGTCATTTATGTAAATCAAAAACAAGAAAGGACCAAATATTGAGCCCTGCGGAACACCCATCTTAATTTTCGATCCAGGGGATCTTTCGGGAACCCTCTGTACTCTGTCAGTCAAGTATGAGACAGTAAAATCCAATGAGTTATCTCTAAATCCATAAAAATGCAGTTTCCTAATCAATGTTTCATGAAAAACACAATCGAATGCCTCAGATAGGTCACAGAAAACACCTAACGCATCATGTGAATCCTCCCAGGCATTAAAAATTTCTTGTATTAACTCGACACCGGCTTGGGTTGTCGAACGACCCCTCGTGAAACCACATTGTTGTCGATTCATAAGCTCGTTCTTGTAAAAGTACGTTTGTATTTGATCCAGCATGATTTTTTCAAAAATCTTACTAAACGTAGGTAGCACGGATATAGGTACGTCTAAAGTTAGTAGGGTCAGACGTGCTACTCGATTTTTGTAAAGGAATAATTTTACTATATTTCTTGAGCTAAGGACACTCGTTTTAATATTTGAAAGAGTGAAGTGTCGATGTCGATGCCTAACGAGCTATGTCGGCTGCAGTGGCTGGACCTGGACAACAACTCGATATCGCGCGTGGACGCGGCGCTGTTCGAGCGCGCGCGGCGCGTGCGCCTCACGCGCAACCCGCTGGCGTGCGACTGCGCGCCGCACTCCGCGCTGCCGCTGCTGCGCCGCTACCGGCACCAGGTTAGCGCCATCTCGATACCTAGCTAACCTCCGATAGATGGCAAGTTGGAGCCGAGTATATAATAATATACGTATGCGAATATACACTTTTACGAGAAAACTTTTCTTTGTAATGAAATAGGTCCTGGGTTAACCGTGGCGAGTTGTAGTGCAAAACGGTGTGGAAAAAAATCCAGAACATTTAATTGCAAGAAATAAGGTGTAATCTTTCTCTAGGAAGATAAATTTTATTTGTATTTTTATCTCGCGGAGTTCAAGTTATAGTGGACAATTATAGGTAACTAATTAATTGAGTAAGGCGCGCTCACTGAAGCCTTGCCGTTGGATGCCTTGTCCATAGATTAGTTTATAGTGCTATAAATTGTGAATTAAATACAAAATATTTTTAATGGTATTTAATAGTGGCAGGCCATCATCGTAGGTAGTTCACGTCTTTTAACAAAGTTGAATACGATTTCGGTCGCGCCCGTCATCTTCAACGGCACTCTGATAAAGTTTTCCTCTCGTGTTGTAGACTTAGGCATTTGTATCGACAGGATGTTGAACTGGCAGGTGCAGATTGAGTCTAGTAGTCGCAAAGTCATCGGTACCCTTAGGTCTTTCTAACAGTTCAAATATTTCCTTCCAATTTCCTCTAAAATCCTCTTAATTCAATCAATCGTTTTTCCCATTATAGATTATGCTGATGTGTGTTACGCTGATATCACACAGGAACTTCTCAACAAATTGGATCGATTACTCAATAATTGTATACGTTTTATCTTCCGTCTTCGGAAATACGATCATGTCTCTTCTTTTAGGAAAAAATTAAAATGGTTAACTATTCGCCAGCGCCGTGATATGAGGATGCCCTCTACTCTTTATTCTAACATTAAAGATCCATGTGCGCCAGGATATTTGAAACGTAAGTTTCAGTTTGTAGGTGCTTCATACAACCGCAACCTTCGCTCAGACAGCGAAGAAACTTTCGCCACCACTTTTCACCATACAGGGTTCACTTCAAGTTCACTCTCGTTTCAGGCTATACGACTCTGGAACGCACTCTCTCTCCATATTCAAGCTGGGCACCTTCTCCACCGCTAAGATTGACATTTTTATTTTTCTAACAGAATAGTCATCGTGCGGAAACTATCGGATGTCATCCGGGTCTCAATCTGAACCGACTAAAAGATATATCGTAATCCGTTTCACGCGATTCGCATTTTTTAAGTATTCAATAGCGTTCATTATAAAAAAAGCCCGACCGCGCGGGCGTCTGCATGTATATTATGTATTCATTGATATTTTTATTCCGAACGTCTGAAGACTGACCGTTCGATGCGGGGCGCGTACGTTTCAGTTGGAGTACTTCAACGAGACTCGTTGTGCGGACGGCACGCTGGCGGCCGACGCGCTGCGGATGCAGTGCGGGGCGGATGAGGGGGCGGGGGCGGGGGCGGGGGCGGGGTGGGGCGGCGGCGCGGCGGCGGCGGCGCTGGGCGCGGGCGCGGCGGCCGCGGCGCTGCTGGCGCTGCTGCTGGCGCGGGAGCCGCTGCGGCTGCGGCTGAAGGTACGCGGCCCGATCTCGGTTACTGATCAATTTGTGCACCGATACATCGGCTGTCCCAGTTCAAAACCTAGTAACTGTTTTGGACTAAATTTTACAGGAGAGCAAAAAAACTCTTTTTAGTGTAGCTCTTTTAAACTATTTAACACCTGTTGAGAAATTATTCTTTACAAGAAGGAGTAGTTTGAAACTGTTAATTTGATATATAAATTATTTGTCTAAGTTTCATTCTACAAATTTTATGAGCTAAAATATTTTTAACAATTAAACGGCTAAGTAAAAATTGACTTCCAAAACCATTTCAAACCTAGTAAGTTCTCTTACTAGATTTTGATCTGGTTTAACATATTAGCTAAACATCAGCTTATCCAGATCAAAAGCTAGTGAATTCAAATTTATACAGCCATTTACACATGTATTTGTGTTTCATTAGGCGGCATTCATTTGTTTTTTTTCTTCTATTTGTCCTATTTACGTCACCCAGTATTAAATATGGAAAAATTGAAATATCGTGTTATTAACGAGTACGAGTTCCACCATGGTACCAGTGCTGCGGAAACGGCTCGAAGGGTTAATGATGTGTATGGCGGTTGTGTCGCAAAAGAAAACACAGTACGTTTTTGGTTCCAACGTTTTCGTTCTGGAAATTTCGAGCCTCATGGACGGCCGGAGACCCAAGTTTATAATGAAGAATTGAAGGGTATTGTGAAAGCGGATCCATCGAAAACCAAGTCCGAGTTAGCTGCAGGCTGCGGTGTTAGTCATAGAACTGTTTTAATCCACTTGAAGCAAATTGGAAAGATTAAAAAGCTTGAAAGGTGGGTACCTCACGAATTGAGAGAAGCAAACCCGTAAACGCGCTTCGACTGTGTTTTAACCGGCACAATAATGAAGGGTTTTTAAATCGAATCATTACCTGTGATGAAAAGTCGATTCTCTACGATAATCGGAAGCATTCATCGCAATGGTTGGACCTTGGCATGCCAGCCAAATCCTGCCCCAAACGAAAATTGACCCCAAAAAAGTTACTTGTAAGCATTCGGTGCAGTAGTGCCGCTGTCGTTCATTAGAGTTTTCTCAAATCTGGCCAGACGATTACGGCAGACGTCTATTGTCAGCAAGTGCAAACCATGCTGGAAAAACTAGCTGTTAAACAACCGAGGCTGGTCAATCGCTCTACGCCACTGCTACTTCACGATAACGCTAGACCACACGTTGAACAACAGACGGCTACCAAATTAGAAGAGCTTCAATTGGAATGTCTAAGACATCCACCGTACGCCCCGGACCTTGCTCCAAAGATTATCATTTTTTTCGAAATTTGGATGACTTCTTGCAAGAAAAAAAAATCAACTCCGATGGGGCAGTGCAAATCGCCTTCAAAGATTTTATTGATTCCCGTCCGAATGGTTTTTTCAGTAAGGGGATCAATGACCTACCTATGAGATGACAAAAGTGCATAGATAACAATGGTTTATATAAATAAATATAGTATATTAATAAAATATTCGATTTTTTGTTGATGCCATACCAAACACCAATTTCATATGTAAGGACCTAATATATTGTAATGGGAGCAAAACATTATATTTAAAGTTATTAAACGGCGACTTGTGATTTCATCTACGTGGACTCTTCGACACTGACTGAGCTTTCGACTACCGACTATAAGTTGTGAACATTAACACATAATGTTGATTAAGAGATTGCTGATAATAACTCGGTTCTATATTTCTCTCAGTGTAATTTATATATGCATATTTGTCCTGTTTTATTGAATAAATAAAATAAATTTAAGTCTTCTTTAGAATGAGTCTTTAATTTCCGCTAATATAGCTTCCAATAATTAATGTAATTTGAAGTTATAGTGGTTTTAAGTTAAATACTCAAAGTGGGCATAAGTTAGACGACATAAGTTTGGGAACCCCTGATCTAGTCTATGGTTCCTTTACTAATTTAACTTTTTCTTGATGTTCTTTTTGTTTAGTCGAAATATCTTCTGGCACTTCAGTACCTTTATGTGTATTCCTCTTATATTTATCTTTTGGCATATTAAATGAAATATGAAGTCTTTTAATTGTTTGTCGATAAACTTCTACACTACAGCGAAAATCTTTCCCTTTACTACTACTATAAACTTAGTTAGCAAAACTTAGTAACTCAATATTTTAATGTCTTACGAAAACCACAAAATATTGTTTCTATACATTTATTCACTTCATAACCCAGTAACTAGATTTGACAATTTCAAAAACCTAGTATGTGCTAACACATACTAGAATTTTGAAATAGTTAAAGATGCATACTAGGTTTTATAATGGTTAAAACTTAACTTTTCATAAATTTAGAAGCACTTACTAGGTTTAGGGTACCCTATAACTTTTGATAGAATTGAATTTTGATATAGGGTATTTTGGCATCTTGTGGGGACTTATTGGAAAACCACTTTTAACAAAAAAACACAATTTCTACTTTTTGTAGACTTACTAGGTTTTGAAATGGGACAGCCGACATTTTCGCTATACTGTTTAATGTTTTTATGCGACCTCCATATTCTCTTTATCTTCAAAAGAAAGAAAGGATAAGCGATGCGAGCGATCTCGTATGGTATTTTCCTTTTATATGCATGTGTGTGCGCGCGTAGGCGTGGCTGTCCGGGCGCGGTGCGGAGTCCCCGGAGGTGGAGCCCCCGGAGGCGGAGCCCCCGGAGGCGGAGCGGCTGTTCGACGTGTTCCTGTCGCACGACGCCAGGGACCGGCGGCTCGTGGCGGAACACATAGCGCCCGTGCTGGAGGTAAGTATTGTATGTCCCCTTTCAGGAAATTCGATCGACCCGATCGGGAAACTCATCTCGATTCGGGACGACGACGGGGCCGGAGCTTTTTAGCGCCACATTAAATATTTTAATCGATTATTACGAGGAATCGATTTACATCTGGAGGAAAATATACATCGGAAGCGTTTAATCGGCCGCTGAAACGATAATCCGAAATCTTCGGCTCGGGTACGTCCCGAACGAAGCCTCACTCGAAATCGACCGGTCGATGTTAAGTTTCGGTCTCGGGCGGAACGCTTCGCAACTGAGGTCCCTAAACGAATTATTTCGCTCTTCTGGTTCGTGTAGATTCCTAGTTCCCCGCTCTTTGCAGCAGGAGCAGTTTTAAAGCATACGTTCTGCCTCGTATTGAATTATTTTGAAACGGTTCGTTCGCTCGTTTTGATCTTGCTCATGCCGCTGCTACATTATGGACACTGCAATTTGTTAAAATTACAGACACTAAAAATAACATATATAAGCCTATAAATATATATTTTAATGTAAATAGAAAGTTTATCGTTCGGATAGAAATTAGTTCTTTGTTTGATTCGTATCTTTAATAGATCAAACAAAGAACAATCGTTTTTTCAGTAATAAAAATAATATTATTTTAAAAAATATTAGTAAAATTTTCGGATACTATTAAAATCATACACATATACTATTTATATTATGCGCTTCGTCTATATTCGTTAAGCTTCGGCAGTCCTAATGTACTTTAAAGATATCTATATAGAGTTGTTATTACATAATTAATCATTTCGCTTAAATTTAGATTAGGTCAGCCAATTTAAAAATAAAGGTATACTGTGTTTCTTGCCATCAGCTGATACCAAAATGAAAACCCTAGATTAAAGAAAATCGAATTAAGATGAAGCGGTTGTACTAACTAAATAAGTTTCTGACACCAGTAAGTTTAAGTAAGTTTATAGTTTTTTTAATAAAACAAAATTTGTCAATTAATCACAATTTGATATACCCGATATTTCTGACTCAGAATCATTACTGTCGCTGCTGGAACCAATGTTTCAGTACCTATATTCAAATAAGGTAGTTTGGCGTATTACAGCTCTATACAATTCTTAGTACTGAAATATTGCGTGCCGTCACTTCCATCACAGTCGAGGTACCGATGAGCTTCGGCGGCTAAAACGACGATCACACATCGGTTTCTCGATCGGTTAAATCCGTAAACACGAAATATACCGAGGCGCATAATTTAAATAGTATACGTGTACATGTTTACGTGCGGTATCGATATTATCTAAAAATTTCGTATTTTAAGTTATATTAGAAAAAATACTAAACCATACGAGAGTATTGACGAACGATCTATGACCGACGCGTCCGTTTCGGTGAACAGAAGCGCGGGTACAGGGTGTGCCTCAGCTACCGCGACTGGCCGCCGGGCGCGTGGCTGCCCACGCAGATCGAGGCCTCGGTGGCCGCGTCGCGCCGCACCGTGGCCGTCGTGTCCGAGCTCGACGGCGACCAGAGCGGGCAGAGCGAGGCGGGCTGGGGCCGCGCGGAGGTGCGCGCCGCCCACGCCGCGTCCGTGCGCGAGCGCCGCGCGCGCCTCGTGCTGGTGGCGCTGGGGGGGGGCGTGCCCGCCGACCTGCGCCGCACCGCGCGCCACGCGCCCGCGCTGCTGTGGGGCGCGCCCGCCTTCTGGGACCGCCTGTGGCGCGCGCTGCCCCCGCCCGCCGTCGCACCCGCCCCGCCCGCCGGGCCCACGGACGATTGCGATAAAACCAAATGTTGATATTCATTTCTATACCGAGCAGTCTCCCTGTAGATTAAATGTGCCGTGCCGGACGAATCGTTCACCCGATGGCGATATCGTGCCGTATTGTGAGGACGGTATATATTGTGCCATTTTAATAAATTGAGGAGCCTTTTTTTTGTTATCGATCTGTTTGTAGATAACGGTCCTGGAAGTGTTCCGTTTTTCCTTTTGAGTTCCGGAATCTCGTTAGAATCGCTCGAGTCAGATATATTCGCTGCACGCGTGTCGCTCCCCGACTGATTTGATCACGACAGTATGAATAATTCGTTAGCCGACTACGTGATACTCGATAAAAACTTTAATACTCCCGAATGTATTTAAATAGAGTCTAATACGTTAGAAACGGAATCTCTTATCGTGATCTTATAAGCGAATGCTTAAAATATCATTTACTGTAAATGCAAAATTATTTTAATCGATCGAATTAAAATAATATAATTAAACAAGAATCTCTTCATCTGCTCACGATCAGCGCCGGCTGCCACCTGAAGTATTAAACTGTGCTACAGATGTTTCGGCATCTCGTGGTCACCTCATTTTACCTCTGAACTGATGCTCCCGATGTATTTATGATTAAATAAATAACAATATTATTTTTATGACACACAAAACTTTAAATTGGTAATGTTGAGATAAAATCATTTTTATCATAATAAC